CATGGTAGAGTCTACTAAAGTTACATAGGGGTGAAAGAGTTAAGATCTGCATAACAAAAAGCAAAACAAAAACCAATCGCTAGGTGGATTCCTGTCTTTTGCATATTACTAGAGAAACTAGAGTCTTCGATTTTGCAATGACATATTTCTAGGGAGTAGAGAAAATGTACATATAGTGTATATATCGATAGCGGAGTCCTCAGATTTCGAAAAAAGTTTGACGTGATCAAGAGGTACGTATTTCACCACATGAGAAATGGCTGTCAGAGTTAAAATTCAGGGTTATGTTTCTGATTATCAGCTGCAACTTCTCAGCTCTGAACATCAAAGATATGGCAATATCAGCACAAAATCTTCCAGTTAGTGTGACGCTATTTTAAATCGTGAGTTGAAACATAATTATCTTTCATTGATTTTGAAGGCAGCAAAGTTGTGGCATGGTTCATCATATAAAAACTTTAGTGAAGATTTAACTTAAAACTTAAACTCTAAATTTTGAATTTCTCAAAATAAAGGGCATATCTTCTGTTTTAGAAGCAGTTGGACCAATTTGCATTTCCAACTTTATGGCAACTAGCATCACCGATGGCGATGAGTCCTTGATTATGAAACAGCTGTATGATGCAATGTAATTAATCTTTGGCTTACTGTGTCTATTACATGTACCAACTGTTAATGCTCTGAGCTATCACCCGTGTGCGTGTTACAGTAATATTTTTACTATCTCAAACGAAAATGATTTTGGGAGAAATACATGTCTTTACAGGGACAAGGGATATATATGTGTGGCATATTTAGACTGTAAGAAAAGACTGTTCGTACGACCTCATAGCATACAACATTTTGCTTTAGTCTAAAATTTGTTTAAATATGGTACATAAAAACATCAACTATAACAGAGAAAACACCTCATACCGAAACTTAACACTGATAACAGTTCAACCATAGTATATATATAGTAGTGTATTGTAAAGAATGTGAGTAACAGCTTACCCATAATCTCTTCAACAGTCACCACAAATAGACTTTCTAGAAGTTCGGCTCTGGCATAAGATATCTCAAGTTTAAGTTCATATCCGATATCCTTGTAGCCTGGTTCTTTCTGGAGTTTTTTTCCCTCTAGGTACGATGCTGACTTCACAACGCATGCTTTTGCATCGTCAATGTTGAACTTCTCGATCCAGCGTAAATATGTGACTATCCGGGAGGGCGGTATGTATATACTGACCTCGGAAAGTGATTCCACGCGCTGGTTGATGACTTCAACACATTTACGTAACAAGTCTGCTGTCTGATACTCGTTTGCTAAAGAGAGTACTATATCCAAATTTTTATCTGAAATTTTGAAACGGTTTCTTATTAAGGAATGATAACTAGAATAAAATAAACCGTTTAAAGTTTTCATGAGTATGAACACCTCGCTCAGAATAATTAACTCCATCAGTAACTATATGCGTGTAATAGGTCATTATGTTACTTTTTTAACATGTTAGGCTCTCAGTTTAAATTGTTTTTTTTTCCGTTTTGTGAACGTCTATTCACGGGCGTATAACAATACAAGATTAACAAACAAAATAAAGATTTGTTTAAGTACTGGTACATGTTGGATGTTACTTCTTATGTTATAACAGTTCTGTCACTTGATATTCAGCAGTAATATGAGCTAAGAGCTTGTATCGTTGTCTTACGAAATTTGTTTATTCTTAACTGTACTGGGGTTTATACTAGTTTAAAGGGAATTTTAATTGATGACGACCTCACCTGCGTTAGCTTATGTGTGTGTTACGTTCACCTTTAAGTGCTGGGTATGGATATATTTGTTCTTCTAACCTGTACTAGGGATTATGCTGGTTTTTCGACAAATGTAAAGATGTGAAATGGGTGACGATCTCCATCATCTAAAACTCAAAGGGTTCCGCTGTTGATTTGATCTCGATCGGACTAGTGTATTTGCATCTATCCAAGGAGCCGCGTAAAGAGCCTTCGATTTTGTTGTGACATATTTTAGAGCATTCTTGATACATCTGGGGTAACAATCTCTTACGCTCTCTGCTCCCTGGAATATGTCATTACAATAGTGAAGACACGCGGCTAGCTATTTGATTGATATGAGTTAAACACTGAACAACATCTAGGCTGTCACATGTCCTTTGAAGATTACAGAGTAGCGACATCCGACTTGTAAGCTGGTCAGTTTTGCCGCTTCTCTGTCGTGGGATTCTTTAAATGATCATCAAATGATCAAACTCATTTTCTTGTTTCATCTACAATGTGACGCACAATGAACCTTTAGTTTTGTTATGACATATTCAAGGGTGCAGATAACTTAAGTGAGTGTAATTCTTGGGAGTATCGAGAATGATTCCAGGGGTGCAGAGAAAACATGTGTATCCAGAGGGAAATCGCAGGATCTCGCACGTGCACTCCTACTTGTGCTACCGATAATTACTAGTTACTTGTTTGGGGAATGACGGCAGAAGACACTTCATAAATATTGACATATCATGGTAGGTTTTCCCTGTGAACCGCAGTGTGGTGTCTGCCTGTTGGTGATCCTGCCACTCATCCTTCAGCCAAGCCGCAAAGTCGGGAGACGCCGATGCGAGTAAATCTCTGTTTACGTGAAGATGTTGATCCTCGACGACCAGTTTGACATCGTTCGGCAGGAAACATGGTTCAATCTGAGATACAAAAAGAAAATATGCTGTTTTAATTGGTAATATATTTTGTCTTTTTTATCCACGTGCATCTTTTGGTAGACTTAGCTGGTGATTTTGTTGTTGGTCATAATAACCTCTTTGTGGCACGATACATAATAAGCACAGTTTACTCATCATAAATTTGATCAAAGTTTTAAAATTCAAATAATTAGGGGTTTTTATGCTCCTCCCTTTCTGTATCAACAGTAATTTAGATGAATTTGAATTCCCACTTTTTAGGCCCATAGCATAACTGATGATGCCAAAAAGGATGAAAGCTCTATGAAATAGTAAATTTAACTTTTTGCATAAAGTATATAATAAGACAAAATTGCAAGACACCCTTCCCTGTTTTCATCTGTACTCAGTAATAGCCACGAATTTTGTGATATCCGACACTACTGTCGGAGCCATGATTTCTGAGATGCCATTACCTGTACATACAGTTTATACAACCCTATCCCCTAATGTCTTACACTTGACAACTGGATGAACTGATAAATTGTTCCAAGAACTTAACAGCAAAATTCCACCATGAAAAAAATAGAAATATTTTTTGTATTAATAGGTTGGTTGAGGTACAGTAAAACTTCGATATAATGTCCTCGTTTCATTTGCCCCCTCGCTTACTGCCAAAATAGTTTAAGGCCCTTTTTAATTTACTCTTTTTCTTAAAAAAAATATTTTTACATTTCCCTCATGTAGCTAAACCCCTATATAACGCCGAAATTTCTCTGGGCAAATTGTGTCAGTATAACGAGGTTTTACTGTAATTTGAAGTATAGCTACACATCTCATGCACTACAGGGCAGCTTGGTATACATAAGTTTTACAGAAAATAGATTTTACACAACTCATCCCCTACAGGGCAGATTAGTATATATAACTGTTACAGAAAATAAAGTACACACATCTCATCCACTACCGGGCATATTGGCATATATTACTTTTACATAAAGTAAATTTTACACATCTCATCCACTACCGGGCATATTGGCATATATAACTTTTACAT